CGTAAGTCCCCCTAGTCTTAATGACGTTGAGAAAGCTTTAGGAAATTTAAAGCGAGGGCGAGCTGCAGGTCCTGATAGACTGACCCCTGAGATATTTAAGGATGGTGGTCCATTTTTAGCAGCTAGGTTGACTGAGATCTTAGGTAGAATCTGGGAACTGGACGTTATCCCATCTGACTAGTTTCAATCGCTGACTCTCCTAATTTATAAGAAAGGACAAAAGTCCTGTTGTGACAATCACAGAGGATTCAGTTTAACTAATATAATGTTTAAAATATTGTCCTCAATAAAACTCCGATACCTACGAGAGCTCGTGAAGAGCAGACTCGAGAAAACTAGGCTGGTTTTCGACCTGGACGTGGCTGTGTTGACCAGATTTTCACACTGTGAGAGGTCCTGAGAAACAGAAACACATCTCGACGTCCCAAAGTGGTAGTATTTCTCGACCTTAAAGTGGCAGTTGACTCTTTCGATCGTGAGGCTCTGTGGCAGTGCCTTTCATTAAAAGGTGTACCAAAGAAGTACATTAACCTTATACAATCTCTCTACTCGAACTCGAGTAAGAGCTGATGGAAAACTGTCATCTGAACTAATTACTCGAGTGGTGTCCGTCAGAGCTGTTCACTCTCTCCATTCTTGTTAGACTTTGTTATAAACTTGCTTCTAGATATAACATTATCTACGTGTTACTTTTCAGTTACTTACTTACTTACTTTCGCCTGTTACCCCCAATGGAGCATAGGCCGCCCACCAGTTTTCTCCAAACAACTCTGTCCTGGGCTTCCCTCTCCAGTTCTGTCCAATGTTTGTTCATTCCTCTCATATCTTTCTCTATTTCTCGGCGTAGTGTGTTCCTTGGCCTTCCTCTTTTCCTTTTGCCTTGAGGGTTCCATGTGAGGGCTTGTCTCGTGACGCAGTTGGGTGCTTTTCGTAGTGTATGTCCTATCCATTTCCACCGCTTCTTCCTGATTTCCTCCTCCATTGGAATCTGACTTGTTCTCTCCCACAGTTCGTTGTTGCTGATGGTGTCTGGCCAACGAATCCGAAGTATTTTGCGTAGACAACTGTTAATAAACACTTGTATCTTCTGGATGATGGCTTTGGTAGTTCTCCATGTTTCCGCTCCATACAGTAGAACTGTCTTGACATTTGTATTGAAGATCCTGATTTTGGTTTTGTTTGAAAGTTGTTTGGAGTTCCAGATATTTTTCAACTGTAGAAATGCAGTCCTTGCTTTGCCAATCCGCGCCCTCACATCTGCGTCCGATCCACCTTTCTCGTCGATGATGCTGCCAAGATATGTGAAGGTGTTAACGTCCTCCAAGGTATCTCCATCAAGCGTGATTCGGTTGGTGCATGTTGTGTTGCATCGGAGAATTTTGCTTTTTCCTTTATGTATGTTGAGACCTACTGCTGCAGAGGCTGCTGCTACACTGGTCGTCTTCTCTTGCATTTGTTGTTGAGTGTGCGATAGAAGAGCCAGGTCATCTGCGAAGTCCAGATCGTCCAGCTGCGTCCTAACTGTCCAGTTGATACCGTGCTTCCCTCCAGATGTTGACGTCTTCATAATCCAGTCGATGAGCAGGAGAAAGAGAAAGGGTGAGAGTAAGCAACCTTGCCTCACACCGGTCTTCACCTCAAAAGAGTCTGTCAGCTGACCTCCGTGTACGATTTCGCAGTTGAATCCATCATAAGAATTCCGTATGATGTTAACTATTTTCTCAGGCACACCGTAGTGTCGAAGAAGCCTCCACAGTGTTTTCCTATCCACGCTATCGAATGCTTTCTCGTAGTCGATGAAGTTGATGTAGAGTGGTGAGTTCCATTCAATTGATTGTTCCACAATGATCCGTAATGTAGCAATTTGGTCAGTACACGATCGATCCTTACGAAATCCAGCCTGTTGATCTGGAAGTTGGGCGTCTACGAAGTCCTTCATTCTGTTTAACAATACTCTGTTGAAGACTTTGCCTGGTATTGAAAGAAGAGTGATGCCTCTGTAGTTTTCACACTTGCTGAGATCGCCTTTCTTCGGTATTTTGATGAGGTATCCTTCTTTCCAATCTGATGGTACTTGTTCCTCATCCCAAATCTTCTTGAAGAGAATGTGAAATATTTTCGCAGTTGCTTCCACATCTGCTTTCATTGCCTCTGCTGGAATGTTGTCTGGTCCTGCTGCTTTGCCGCTCTTGATTTGTCTGATGGCTATACTGATCTCCTCAATCGTAGGTGCGCCAATAATAATTGGGAGGTCCGTGGATGCTGCTTCGATGTTGGGTGTGTTCAGTGGAGCTGGTCGATTCAATAGTTCCTTAAAGTGCTCCACCCACCTATTTCGCTGTTCGTCAGTGTTGCTGATTATTTTCCCTTCCTTGCTTTTCACTGGTCGTTCTGGTTTACGATAGTTTCCGGCGAGCTTCTTTGTAGTTTCGTACAATTGTCTCAAGTTTCCTTCTCTTGCAGCCTTTTCCGCCGTCATTGCTAGATAATCCACATATTTTCGTTTGTCAGCTCTGATGCTCTTCTTCACTTCCCTGTTTGCTTCTGTATACTCGGCTTGCGCCTTAACTTTCTCTGCTCTTGTTCGGCAGACATTGATAGCTGCCTTCTTGTTCCTCCTTTCTTGAATTTTTTCAAGAGTACCAACAGAGATCCATTCCTTGTGATGGTGCTTCTTGCGACCAAGGACCTCCTGACATGTTGAAGTGATTGCCTCCTTAATCCCTTTCCAATTGTTCTCCAATGTTGCTTCCTCTCCATTGAGTAGATCCTGAAAGGCCTGGAACCTATTGGTGAGGGCTATCTTGAATTCGTTGAGTTTTACGGTATCCCGAAGAAAGGCTGTATTAAACTTCTGTGATGTTGTCTGCCCCGCTGTCCAGTGCTTCTTTAGCTTCAATCTCATTTTGGCGATCAGCAAGTGGTGATCTGAAGCTATATCAGCTCCTCTCTTGGTTCTCACATCCTCCATGGTCCTTCTGAACTTTTTGTTGATACAGATATGGTCAATTTGGTTTTGAGTAGTGTGATCCGGTGAAATCCATGTGGCTTTGTGAATGCGTTTGTGCGGGAATATTGTGCCACCGATGACCAGTTTGTTGAAGGCACATAGGTTTGCAAATCTCTGACCATTTTCGTTCCTTTCTCCCAGTCCATGTCGTCCCATGATGTCTTCATATCCAGTGTTGTCCATTCCAACCTTGGCATTCAGGTCTCCCATAAGAATCGTCAAATCCTTTGGTGAACATTTATCGACGACTGACTGCAGCCTTTCGTAGAATTGATCTTTAACGTCGTCATTGTAGTCATTGGTAGGTGCATAACATTGGATGACGTTCATTGTAATGTCCTCTTTCTTTGTTTTGAAGGATGCTTTAATGATCCTGGGTCGATGAGATTCCCATCCTATCAGTGCCTTTTGTGCATGTTTGGACAGCATCAGTGCAACTCCTTGTGTATGTGAAGCGTTTTCCTCTTCATGACCAGAGTATAACAGCAGTTCCCCTGAAGCAAGTCTCAGTTGTCCTACCTGTGTCCAATGTGTTTCGCTGATCCCGAGCACCTCGAGGTTGTATCTTTTCATTTCAGCCGCAACTGGAAATAGTCTTCCAGTCTCCCACAATGTACGAACGTTCCATGTACCTAAAAAAATGGTTGCTCTGGTTGTGAGAAGAGGCATCGGCCCCGTGACTTCCGAGGGAACTCGGCTTTCATCACGAGACGTCATAATTCTTCTTCCAACTCCCAGGGCAGAGTTAAAATGGTTTGAATTATTTTTTCTGGTTAGCGTTTTTTGGCAAGTTAGATTTCAACGGAATGGGGCCGCCAACCCCATGTCCAACCCTCCTCCTTTATCCGGGCTTGGGACCGGCAGTAGCCCCTAAGGTTCTACTGGCGGAGTTGTTACTTTTCAGTAGTGGACCTATTACCAGGAAACTCGCTTATTGACTTGGTATATGTTGATTACATAGTTCTGCTTTATGAAGACGCTGACAGAGTGCAGTCCTCTGACTACCTTATGCATCAATGCAAGCATGTTTGGGATACGGCTTTGCCTCTCGAAATGAAAAATGTTGCTTCAAGATTGGGTTGTATCGGTACCTGAACTATAATAGGGAGTGAAGTAGTTAAGCATGTTGACCGCTTCACTTATCTCGGCAGTTTCTTCAATGCAGATGGCCTGGTGACTGACGAAATCTCGGCTAAGAAACAGAAAGCTCGGTTGGCTTTTGCAAACATGTGTCACTTATGCCGAAGGCGAGATATCCGTTTGCTAACTAAAGGACGAGTGCACTGTGCAGTAGTTCGCTGCGTTCAACTTTATGGCTGTGAAACATGGCCATTCAGAGTTCAAGATATTCGTAGGTTGCTTGTTTTCGATCATAGGTGTCTCCGAAGCATTGATCGTGTATCCTGAGACAATCGAGTTATCAATGCTATTGTTAGAAAACCAGTACTAGATAAGGATGGCAGGTCAATAGATGAAGTAGTGAAACTTCATCAGTCGATGAGGTTGGGATATGTGTTACAAATTTCCAACCACCGACTACCTCGTCGAGCTATGTTTTGTGATGCTGGAGTAGGTTGGAAGGAAGCTAGGGGCGGCCAAACCAGAACACGGCACAAATCTGTGAGGTCACTGACATTTGAATTGAGTCTTGTTGTAGGTGTCGACTACGTGGTTGTGGTCCTTGAAATGATAGTAATCGATGATTAAAGACCCTGAATGACATGGCTCAAAACCTTTTTTAATGGCGCAGGAGCATTCATTTATTGTTCTCTCTCAAATCCTAACTTTCGGAGTTTGTCATCACCATTCTTATGAGGCATTCATGACTATTACAATAAAATAAACTAAATTCTTTTCGAAAACCTATTCGGCGGTTGTTTCTTTTAGACTATAATGGTTTATTTTAGTCGATATTTGCCTTTCTGTTGGATGTTTAACCTGGGACAAAATCAATCCGTTACAACTGATCTCAAATTTAATCAAAGTCAGATTGAAAATAAATAAACCATATTTTTTTTTCCAAATAAAACAGACATTATTTTATGAAATTTAAGCATTACAACTGTTGTTATTCTGTTATCCTGAAATGAAAATAGTAAAGTTTTGCTATCCGAATAATACAATTATTTTGATATTCGTATAAGCAATCAATGTTAGATAATGGTGAAAACGTATAGAAATAGCATCTATGAAGTTTAACTCATCAATGAAATTCATTAGTTATCCGAATCGAATTTTTCAAAAACAAACTGTAATTCTATGAAACATGTTATTATTTTTTTTATTGAAATCAAATTTTCCGACATATCGTATGTTATCATTAAAAATTTCCCATCTTCATAAAATTCTTGACTTGTAAATGAAAAAAAACACAACTTTCAAACATTCATTACTTCTTAGTAGAGAATATAAATGAATACGAACAAGGCCAGCTCAAATGAAGCCAAAATAACAGCAAGTAGCCATGAACTGGAATCTGGTCGAACATTCCTGTCGTAATAACGGGACAAATGGTCATAATACATTATAACGCTGATAATACAGCATACACCTATGAGAAAACAGAAAACAAAATGATACAGTTTATCGTCAAAAAGTTACTTTGTATACAATTCTCATTAATTAGTACAAAACTATCACAAGTATGCTAGAAAAATACCCTAAACTATCATAAATAATAGTATCAGATAAAATAATGAAACCCTTAGTATTTCGCAAGACCAATTGTTGTGCAGCACTTGTTACAAGTTCTCATAATACCTTATTTATGTTTCGATGTCTTGTACTTGATGGGTGATGAGAAGGTTATCAAACTTTGAAGGAAAACCGAGTTCTGACATGTGTTTCAAGATATCGTGATAGATGTTTGTCACCACATTGATGCCATAACAGACAGGATATTCATTTACTAATGTTTTGTAAAGTAACCTGAATAAATTTTCAGTTGCAAATTTAAGCAGTAGAACAATGGATCACCCAGTGAAAATCCTCGTTATATCCATTGTAACTTCATAGTTTCATCAACGAAACAAAACTGAAGTTAAATACTTATTTGGTAGTATATTGCCTTGTAATGGCAAACATAACATTCATTATGAGCACTTATGTAAAAAAAAAGATCATAATTCAGTTAACTTATTTCGCTTAAGATATGCACCAATGTATAAAGATGATAAAATGGTGAAGAATTGGGGAATGTACTATCTGAACGCGAGTATTTTCGTCATATCACAATGCAGTGAAGGAGTACTGCCTGTGATAAAGATTTAAAATAGACGACTTCTATAAAAATTTATATTTAACAAACGAAAATTGAATAGGGATAATTATAGTAAACTATCAAACAAAGAACAAGAATTTGCACTGTGGAAATCCTAAAAATTTATTAAACAATAAGGTTTGTTTTTTAAATCTCTAATCATGAACACTTGTTTGATTAATTGGTTTACAAATTGTTTTATTCATCTCTCTTTCTGTTGATCATACAAAGTTAGCTAGCAACTCTGCCGAATGTATGATTTACTGTACTTACAACTGTATTTATTATTCAAGTAGAACTAGCCAGAAATTGGTGGTCTTCATCAACTCTTCATTGATCTTATAAAAAAGGCAACATTGATATGGTTTTGTTAAATGAATAGAAATAAGTAATCATTCCTGAAACAAATCAAATATAATAATAATAATAATAATAATAATAATAGTAATAATGGTAGTTGCCATGAAAGACTTAATTTAAGATTATTATGCTCAGAACGATTAGTAAAAAAAAACTACTTACATCCAACTACAATTGCTGCAAAAATTCCAATTCTGAAGATTTTTGAACCTTCTTTAAAAATAGTTAATAAATATAGGACGAGCGCCGCAATGAAAGCGATAAAAGCAAGGAAGTAGAATGCTTGAAATGCTTTCAATGAATGTGATTTATATTGAGCTTTTTTTAAAATAGACGAAAGAAATAAGCATTTATTAGTGTAATAAGGAATAATAAAATGAAAATACGATCTCAAAACAAGTCAGACGTAAATGAATATTCATTAACAAAAATTACTTTTGAAAACCACATTGAACATCTATATGAAAAAAAAATAATACACACATAGTAGGATGAAATAATAAAATGTATCTAGCGTATTCTAAGCTAAAAATATTTTTAACTAAATCCAAAATATAACAATGTGAATTTAGTGGGAAATGTTTGTTTACAATGGACTCATTTGTTCAATCGTATTTTAATGATTTGATAAACATATATATGTATAGAAGAATATAAAGGAATTACACTATAAAGTGTTCTGAAATCTTAGGTATTAAAAGAACATCAGAGAAGAATAGTAGGATTAAAATAACTTACCTGTCAAATATATTCAACCCTCTTTTTAGGTTTTAGAACAGTTTATTATATCACCTACTTCAATCCCTCTAGATAATCATAGGTTTGTAAAACCACTGAATGAGTTTGTTGTAAATATATATTTCTTTGCTGAAATCTTTTTTACTGATGAATAACTTCAGTAATTTAAATCCAATGGAATGCAACCTTGAAAATGGTTTATACTTGTCACTACCAAAGTGCTCATCATTGTATCATTTGATAGTTGTTTATGTACACATTAGTAACCAATCCAATGACCAACAAGTCTTTTATTCCTGACTGGATCCTATTAGACAAGTACCAATGTGACACCTGGAATTTTCTTGAAAGTAAGGAAAATATCCGAGCAACTACCTACTACTGCTGTGCTCGAGAACTCTGGTGAGGACATTAACAATGTATTTAGGTAAATATTACAGAGTTGTTAGGCATATTTACAAAACCTTCCTGTGAATCGTCATTTGCAAACTAATCCTTATTTGTTTCAGATTTCAGTGTTCTTTCATTTAGACTGTTCAGACTTCAGTTCACTTTACGTTACCTATAAATCGCCTTCTGTTTCATTCTTTCCTTCTCGATCTTTTGCTGTCAGACGTTTGGTTTCCATTTATTATTATATACTACTTATGTGAACATAAGTAGCGTACACCACACTACCACTTACCACATATTAAAAGCGTAATGTCCATCTGTTACTTAACATTTGTATTTGACATATTCAGCATGAAATATATATTTCCATTCTCATTTTTACGCCATTTGGCATAAATGAAAACTATTACATGCATATATTCTATCGTCACCTTCATTTAGATCTATTCGTTTACATTCCACTAAATATGTAGTGGTATGTTGTATATTACTTATCAACCGATAAATATCTTTTATTAATGAGTAAAAAAATGATATCCAATCATTTTTTTTCAGATTACGATGAGTATCAGCTCCATGGTTAATAAGACAATGTGAAATTTATAAAATTATGGTTAGTATATACATAACCCGTTTATCCGTTGCCAGTAAGTAGCCTTATGCAAACTAAAAAAAATATCAAAACTGAATAAGTAAATTAAGTTTAAAAATATTAACTACAGGAACCCACTAGACAATTAGTCAGTATTTTTCTCAATGTTATATGATTTAAAAATTTACTTCTATGCGAGAGATAAAATTTTCAAGTCAAATATGTAATTGAAGAAACATTACGGACAATTTCTCGAAGAAAATGTTTGTTTCGACAATTAGATTTACTCAAGCTGTACGACTGTATTTATAGTTAATTTACAAATAATATAACTATTGAAAAACATGAGGGTGATGACATTGTAGAAGTCACTTCTCGATTTGGCTTCAAAATGTAATGTTCCAATAATTCTGTATTTAAGCAGGCCAGTCCACCTAGTATAGCAGTGAGTCTACTTGGGAAATATTCAGAAGTTAGGATACCGATTGTTGGGACTGTATGTTTTGTCAATAATTAATTAGAAGCCATTGTATGAGGGAGTAAATATTAGGGACATTTATATGCATGAATGTTAGCCATGAAGCTGGCAAACTTCTTGTATGTCTGTGCTTATAACCAATCAGAGGATAGATTACTATTGTGGTGCAGACTGACAGAATCGTATACACGGAAGATAAAATGTCTAAATTTCAGCAAGTGTCAAAATACAACTGGCTTTTTTGTTCTACCTTTTGTTAACCTCTAAAACAAACAATGCTAATAAGTTGACAATCGCTTATTATACCATGTGTGACAGTTGCTTATTTATTGAGAATTCAATAGAGATAATCGAATGTAAATAAACAAGTCAAGGGTGATTCTCCACCTGAAAAGCATGAAAAGGATGAAGAATAAGTTAAAAACATGAAGGTCCTATTCAACAGAAGGAGAAACTTAATTTAATATTTATTATAAATAATCAGGCTAATATACCCAAACAACTTGATAGACAAGGAAGGGAAGAGTTATTTCATTACATACTCGATCATTCGTTCACATTGGAGTCCAGTATTGAGCCGCTAAAAACTAATCACAATCGAACAAGTATGAATCATGAACAGCTATCAATCCAGATTTAGTGAGAAAAGTATGAAACCTAAACTAAAATCTACATTTCCTAATACAGATTTTAACAGAATTCGAGTTATGAAGATTGAGTTCAAGGGAAATACTTGGAAAGAATCGTTTGATGAAATCGTTAAGGAAAACATTTTACGTTGTTAAGCGCTAGACAATCTGTTTCATTGGATTAACACAGAAGCTGATACTGCCTACAACAAACCAGTTGACAATAAAGCTAGAATTCGATGTACTGTGTCTGCAGTTGAGGAAGCTACTCGACTAATTAAAATGTTGTTTGCTCTTTAGTATCGTTCAGTATTATAATTTGAGACACTATCACTGAGGTACAACTGGGATTCGTAAAGTAATTAATCATTGAAAAATAAGCAGTCACAAAGTTGTCGATTCGTCAGTCGATCACTCAGAACGAACCGCCTCCGCAATCAGTTTGCATAACTTCAAATTTATTTGTGTTTCCGAGAAACCATCTACTCATAATTCTGTACTTTTAAATTTCACTCAGTCTGCACTCTCACATCATAACTCAATTTAACAACCACAATTCGCCTGTCAGTACACACAGTTCACTTGTCAATCATCACCAAATATTACAGTGAATACTGTTTTCAATATTCATAAAACAATGTGAAATTCTCAAAACCTAGGTCAGTAGGTATGCACATACCAGTACATCTACTGCCAAATACAAAATATCATGCTGAACATGTATTCTGAAATGTTTCATAAATTCATATGAATTCACACCCGATATTACTAACAATTTATGAATGACATATATACTAATCAGAAATTGTGTTGATCAGATATGTGAATACTTTAACAGAAAGCACGAGTGTAGCAGAACACAAAACTAGTCATGATATTCAGATAAACCTCTCTTGACATGAAACATCGATAATCTGATAATAACTGATGTTTTAATTTTGCTCAGAGTTGAATGCTGTCGATATAACAGAGAAGAATTTAGTGACACAGTTTTCATTACACTGAACAATAAGCATTTTATACATCGTCAAAGCTCATCGTATCGTCATTCACGCTGAATACATCAATCTCAGTGACATTCAAGTTATGTTTGGTGGTTGCCTCAGGTCACGTTCGTTCACACAGAAATCAGAGCGGAGAGTGATTGAAATTTCATTTCCCAGATGCTCTACTGTAAGAAACGACAAAGGAGTGGTATAATAAGACAAAAAAGTTGTTCAGTGTTTACTCCCACTGACTGATTAATAAGGAACAAGGCGTCATGTAAATTATGAAGTTCTCTATTCTATACACTTGAAACTAAGCATTTTCAATAACTACATCTCACATCAGACTCTAACACTTCATTAGGAAATGCAGTATAACGTGGTTGACAATATTCAACTATCTGGTAGCCAGCATGTCAATGCGAAAATACACAAATACAACTATGACTGACACACATCTGCAGTCATCAATTGGTTACAGCACACGTTTGTAAGTAATCCGTAAAATGAAATCCACAATCACAAACACATCACTCGTAAAATAATACTACTCTGAAAAAATGTGACACGTTTTGATGAGCATGACTAATTAACTACTATTTAGTGTTAGAAAAATACAAACTGTGATTAATGACGTCATTGATAAGGAATGGTACTTCAACATTGTTATTATTATTGCTGACAAGCACATATTTAATTTGCGTGTGATTGATTCTTCACGTGTCATTATTGCAATCTCTCTGAAAAATCAACAAATCCACTGTCACTCACAAATATGCAATTTTTACGATCATAAAAAACGATGAATCATGGAATTCAACAAAACATGTAACTGTTCTACTTGTATCAACTAGTTTTCACTATGAAGAATGATAAAAATCTGCACAAAACATTTAAAGACAAAAAAATTCAATTGTGGTCTGCCTACACATCAAAAACTACAGCGTATTATTTGAATGACACGACACTTCGTGTTCGCAATAGTTTCAGTTATGTTGTCAATGCTCATTTGTTTCGGGATACTTTACGTACAATGTCATCACAACAATGTGTTGCAACCACAGAACACCTCTCTCTCATCGAATTTTCACTTCGTTCTCAACTGTCAAACAACAATTATCATGATGAACGAATGACGAGTTTAATACTGTTGAATGTCAAAAGTAATCTGACTTGAATCACACTTCACTAGCATATTCAAACAAAAACTATCCGTACAATAGACACATGTGATCAATATTGATAGCAGCAAATGATACTGGTTAGAGTGTGATGCCTCAATGATGATGATGATGATGCATGGTGATATTTCACGGACACACAACTCGCTTGATGAAGTAAACCTCATTCGCCTCAATTCATTCATCAATAGCAACAACCGTAGCTACTCAATCGAAATATCTGTTCGTTTGAGGTGTAACACATCACATAATCAAGAGCATTTGAACATGTGGCAACCAGTTTCGAGATCATTTCGAATCTATGGAAATAGTACATCTACA